GCAAATTGAACTTCGTTGTTGTGATTAAAGTATTGCTTTTCTAAAATCTTAGTTAGTAGTTCTAAAATTACTCCCTATGAGATCGATATCTAGGACTCCATTAGAGCTCTATATTACTTGAGCGATACGTATACTTGCGTTGATAAGTGCGACTTTACAATTATTGAATATTTATTTCGTTCATATTTATCGAATCTATAACTATTATTAAGGATTTGGTACAGTTGCTGAGGAAGTAAATCTTTTAGCAGCAGTATTAAATACTTATATTTTTAAGCATATATAAAGTCGCCGTCATGAAGCAGAAAAAAATTATTTAGAGGATGGCAGTAAAAAATGGGCTAAAATAAAAAGTGTGATAGGAGAGAGAGAGAGAGAGAGAGAGAGAGAGAGAGTAAGGGAGAGATAGAGAGAGAGAGAGGAAGGGAGAGGTGGTAAATAAAAAGTGAGTATTCTAGCAAATAAATAATGAGTAATGATAAATAAAAATTTGTATTTTTGTTCGAATGAGTAATCATGTTTAATGTTCAATGGAACTTGCTTTATTATTGTTGCCTTATTTTTGAATTGTTACATCAGAAATGTAAAAAAGTGATTTAGATTTTACGATATGACTTGAATTATTGATATTTTGAAGTAGCTAAAAGGTCTTTTTCTCAAGTTTAAGTTATTGGAAAAAAAAATATGTAAAAAAAGGTCCCTAATACTTTTCAAATAAATTTTTCGACCGTTTTCATGTAAATTTTTTGCATTAATAATTTTAATGAATGTTTTCTCAAAATGATTTCAAAAGATTTTTTACAAAAAAAATTATTGAGTTTTTTTAAAAATAAATCCAAACTATAAATGAGATTATTTGAATATCATTTCCAATACAAAATATAATTTTATAGCTAATTCTTCCTTTTTTAATGGAAAAATTGCTCTATTTTTTTAACAAATCATTTCAAAAAAAAATCTTGATTTTTATTGGGTATATAATATAAAAATTGTACTTAATCTGTGTTGCAATTCAAAGACGAGTTAGCTCATGCATCAACTCAATTCCAACTAAGCAAATTGCAATCCATCAAAGTCGATTCCTTATTATATTCAAGCATAAAATAGCAACAAATTCATTAATTTCTTATACCATAAGCCGAATTACAATATTTACATAGAACCAGAAAATCTTTATTACAATGTCAAATTTTAAAAATCAACCAAACAAAGTTGACACTTAAAATGAGTATGCACCCACATTATCGATAAATTGCTAGCTTACGAAATCATTTATGTTGGCCACAATTTCCAAACAACAAATTTCTTATAACTAGACTTCATCTTAACAACACTACTCGATTCTTGGAACAGCCACACAGACCAAAGGATTCTTCATCTCGAGAGACATCTTTAGGCACTCAGACAAATCTACACCATTTCTCGATGGAAGCAATTTGAAGCTTTTCAGCAACTGAGCCAACCAAAGGTGAACTGTAGCCAGCGCCAAGGTTTTCCCAGGGCAAACTCTTTTACCTGAGCCAAAGGGTGCCAACCTTAAATCGGAACCAAGAATATTGACATCTTCATTGATGAATCGATCGGGATTGAATTTGTTAGGCTCAGACCAGTTGCATTCATCATGTGTTATTGCCCACATGTTTACCATTGCAACCATTGCAGTCGTCCCCGCAGGAATCTTGTGACCTCCAACATGAACGTCATGGATAGCTAGGCGAGCCCATGACAATAGAGGTCCAGGAGGATGCATTCGAAGGGTTTCTTTTACTACGGATTGGAGATAAGGAAGATGTTGGATATCAGAATCCAGTACTGGTTTTGAAGATTCAACGACAGAATCAATCTCAACTTGTGCCTTCGATTGAATATCAGGATGTAGAACCATTCTAGCCAACGTCCATTCCAATAGTATGGCAACAGTATCAGTTCCTCTAAAGATCATTTCCTAAGACATGATCATGCAGAAGTAGTTATTTATCTCTTAAAAAATAACACAAGAAAATATCATTTGTATACAGAAAAAAAAATAAATAAATAAAAATCGAAAGCAACAAAACAATCTCACTCTGGGGAAAAATGCAAACAAATTAGCAATCAAGAGGATTGACAATGCTCACCCAGAGAACTGCGACCATATCAGAATCTGAGAGTCTATCTTTCTCCTCCAAACTGAGAAGCACATCAACAAAATCTTCTCTTTCACCCTCATCAATCCCTGCATCGTTGGCTCTCCTCTTATGCTCCTCTATGATCCTCTTCACAAATACATTGACCTTAGCCACAAGCGCTCTGCATCTTCTCCTCACACCTTGCAAATCTAACCATCCCAAAAGAGGCAAATGATCACCCCAGTTGAAGACCCCAAGTAACTCATATCCTTCCTTAACCATCAACTCAAGCTCCAACCCCTCATCCTTTGCAAAATCATACTTTCTTCCAAAAACACTCAACATGACATTATTCAAAGACCCAAAGTGCAACATTCTCCTAACTTCCACAACCCCGTTTTTCTCCATCATTCTCTTCATATCCCGCACCATTCCTTCACCAATCTCACTCCGCTGCTTCCCGAACGATGAAACTCGCTGCGGATTGAAAAGATACGTGGATGAAATCCTTCTTAGGTTTCTCCAGTAATCCCCAAAGGGAGCAAAACCCATAGCACGATTAAACAGAAGTTCGTATGCTGATTCTTTAATGGGCCGATCAGCAAAGGCCGGGCTCGAAAGAATCTCTTTTGCTGTTTCCGGGTGGCTTGAGACAATAAAGCGTGTGAGGCCGACGGAGAAAGCCATGAGGCGGAGGGCGTCCAAGGAGCGAGCTAGGGCGGCAAGTGACTTATGACCAGCGGAGCTGGCGAGAGCAAAAACAATTCCGGTGGGCCCGGAGATTGTTGGACGCGCGCGGCAGAGGGCCCACGCCGAAAGAGTAAAAAAGCTGAGATGATGATGATAGAAGCGGCGATAGCTGGAGAAAGTGTTGGGGACAGATAAGTGAAGATGATGGATGATGAATCCATGGATGACACGGTCATTTTTAACGAGATGTCAGAGAAACCAAGAGGAGTGAGTCGCAAGAACTTGAGGAGCAGAAGAGTGGGAGAGTAGTATTATATAGGAGGTAGGGGTTAGGTTTGAATACAAATTTGGAGCATTGGCACTGAAGAAAATAACAGTAATCGCTATTGAGGATCTGTCTGGGCGACTACTTCAACTTTTAATAAGAATAGTTGTTATAAACTTGTTCAAATGAAAGTAAGTTTTTTGAATATTGTTTTGAATACTAAAATTAATTTTGAAAGAAGACGGAGAGTAATTTCTTTACAGTTTCCACCTTAATTGATTGATTCTCAAAAATATCGTTCCACTCTAAAAATTTATTAAAAAACTATCCCTAATCTAAAATTTGCTTATATGTCCATTAGCCGCTTTATAATACAATTGCAATTATTTTAGTCCTATTTTGATCACCAATTGAAACATATGCGAGTCTACTAGAAATCAAAACTCTTTTTTTATAAATTTAACCTCATTTTTATAAAATATTTCCTCTTATTTGTTTTAACTTTTTACAATATAATGTGTTATTAAAATAGATAATTGATGAGGTGAAATTTTTTTTTTCAAAAATAGCCTCATTTTATAAAATATAACAATTTAATGCTTGGAAACGAATCATTCTATCGGGAGAATTTGATAGCAATAACCGCAAACAAAGTGATAGAAGTAAATAAAGTAAATAATTTCTAATGTAAGAAATTACATAGGAGAAAGGGCACATGACTTATCCCAATTGATATCTTTCACTAACAGTATCTCTTAATTACAAATGGACACCCCTTTGTAAGCCTCAAGAAAACTTCAAGATAATGAAAGAGAATATAGGTTGTTCCATATATTCTCTCGATGTAGTGATTCAAAATAATCAAACTTTGGGAGCAGTATTGGAAGCTTAGGGAGGTCATTATAATGGCGAGACAATCTTCAGAAGATATAGGCTGAAAGGTTATCGAGGCCATTATGCATAACAACTTAGATTGTAGTATGCATTGTCGTTTATATTTTTTTGCCAACTCATCTTGAAGTTGAATGGAATGTAGTGTTTTAAAAATGGACGTGGACAATTTGATATTAGTGGATGGTAGAAAAATTGTGTGGCATATGGAAGTGATGAACATGTTTAAAATTTTATAAAGAGGTGTAAAATTAAAGATAATATTTGATTGAAGTTCTTATATTGATATGGAAGAATAGCCTAGAGAATGATTCTCATATTTAATTTTTAGATTTGTTTTTTTTCTGCTGGAGAGGGTGGACATTGAGAAAAAAGAGAAAAACTAAAGTTGATAGGTATGGCAGATGAAGTGTAGCAATAGTAAGATTCAAGTTGCCACCTTAGTTGAAGCATTAAATCCTTCATGAGTAGCCATTCACTCCAACCGGTGGAAAGAAATACCAATCTCCATTAAGAGGTTAGACAATGGATTTAAATAGATAAATTAAACATAATGAATCTAATATTTCATTCATTAGATTAGAACTCAAGTTTGGACTTACTTATTAATACTTTTGGTTCTAGCATTATAAGAATAATTGACTTTTCCGACAGCCTAATCCCGTCGGTTTTGTTGAGAAAAACCAGTGGTTTTGATGTTTTAAACAATTTATCTATGTGGTTTATCGACGGTTTTAAGCAGGTAGAAATAACTCTTGTAGATAATTTCACAACCAACTGATATTTTCACATCAAAAATTTACCCATGCATAACCGAATATTTAATGTCATAGTTTTTCTTAGAAAATTCATTTCGTTAGTTTTTGTCAGTTCACAGAGGCGACTGTGACTCAGTCGGTAATAGTGACAGCTTAAAGGTCGAAAAAGTGTCTCACCTGTAAAAGTTTTTACGCAGGCAATCAGTTATGTGTTGCTTATGCATTGGTTTTTATAGCTGACAAATTAACATACAGAAAAGTGTCACGCCTGTCGTTTTGGTTGACAAACTGAAGTCGTAGGTTAGTTGTTGGTTAGGCGTCGCAAATAAGCCCATCGGATAGCAGTCGATTTTACCTACGGATAGGTGAACAGTTGTCGCAAGACCGACGGTAAGCCGTTAGAAAGTATCAACAAAAAAATAAATTATTCCTTTCATATTCACTTTACCACACCTGTTATTACAATATTTAATATATCATTCTAAACATTTAATAAAATAGAATAACAGTAGAACAGTAAATTATACAATCAAATAATGAAATAAATAAAATGCAAATACTCTAAAATATATACATCACTGTCACAGGAAAAATATATGTTTAAATATACATCATATACATAAAGAAAGGAAAAATACCCCCTAATCATCCTTCTATATCTTCTCATCCTCATCCTCATCATCCTCCACTACGTCCTCCTCCAATGTTGTCGCTGCTCTATGATGCTCCCTCATAAGCTGGTAGAAGGAATCTAACTTGGCTTTTTTGCTTAGCCTCCATGTTAACCTCCAGCTTTGACCACATTTGAGTGAAGCGGGCCTCCATCTCGATAGAGAATGCGACAACATGCCTGAATATCTCTTCATTCTTTGCGGTAGAGGTAGGAGCAACATATACACCGGTGGAGGGGTGAGCATCGTAGGAAACCCCAGCAAACCGAGTGTTGATGTCATTTTTGGTGAGGTCTAGGTCTAGCCAAAGTGATTTCCTGTTAACTGTCTCAGCGGATTAGTGATGGCACCCACCTTATAAAAATTCTAGCCACTTCTCTACTCTATTTTTCTATTTTCACATGTGTGATTTTGACCTCTAGCACTTTGAAGGTTGGAACCAACATGAGAAAGTTCAAATTGAGTACCCATAGGAGTTTTAGGCCTTAGGGGCACCCTCTTTGATTTTGGGTTACTAGAGCTTGGTCTAGTGCACATACTTGAAATCACTTATCCTTAACTCACCCCTTTCTTCTTTTGGAAGCTCATATGGGTGGACACAAGCCCTTACCTTTGGGCTAAAATGGTTAGGAACAACATAAAAAAGCTTTGAATAGATTGCATGCTCTCCACCCTAAACCCTAAACCCTAAACCACATATAATCCCCAATTCATCGAAAATCCCCAAAATGTGCCAAAAATCTCCAAATTTATTCCAACATCATCTAAACCAATCTTAACCATCAAATTTTCTCATTTTCACCCAAAATTTCCTAAATTACTCATATTTGCCAAAATTACCAAACTATCCCTCATGCCCCAAAAATCCCTAAAATCTCCAAATTCACCCTAAATGTCCCCAAAATAAATTTGAACTACCATATGTCTCCAATTGTGCCCAAATCCACCAAAATTGGCTAAAATTCTCAAATTGCCCCTAAGGCCCAAAGTCCTCGAATTACCCCCAATTTCTACCAAATTTATTTCAAGCTCCCCAAATTTTAAATCCACATCATAATTCATCATGTCTAAATGTAATTGAAATTAAATTCATGCTCATTTGATTAGCCCATGATCGATTTCAAAGATTAATTTATCATGCATATTTAAAAGCCCATATCCATTTCCATTTTTTCCTCATTTTCATAAAAAATTACAAATTTCCTTTGCATGAAAGTCCCCCATTGCATCATACATGACATATCATGTCTCATATAGCCTTCCATGGACATCATAAAGTCAAATTTGCCTAAAATGGCAATTGGAGGTGACTCTTTCCTCTTTCTACTTCACTTGGAATTTTCCTCCTCATGATACATATATCCCTCTCCCCCATGCCCAATTCAGCCATCAAAGTCTGCCCAAACCTTCCTTGGGGTTAGGACAGGCACCTCAGCCACCTAGGAGCTAGCCTAAACACTTGACCAAGGGGTTAAACCCAACCCAAGCCCATTTAGCATAAACCTCAATTTTCCCTTTGGATCTTCACAATGAGTTTACCTAAAGCTAAATTGAGCTGACCACTCAGTGCCCCTGACTTCCCTAAGCTCAAATGTGACCTGACCCCAGCCAACCCGCCACCTCAACCGCTAGAAAATGCCATGCCTGAGAGGTCCGAAATGCTTTAAACCCAAAATTAGGACTCTCTGAGCTTGCTCACTCCAATTGGCCATCACAACATTTCTTCCCTCTACCTAAGCGGCTCCCTTGCCACCATGACATGCCCAAAAGGTAACCATGGCCTCTTTAAATTGGAGACCCTCCACAACCAACATATGAAGTGCGCCCAAACCTTAACAAAACTCTGTCAAATTTTCATCAGAGTACTTTGCAACTCTGAGAGGCCAATACCCACCACTTTCCAACCCTAATTCCCACTAGTTAGCTTCAATTTCAAGCTAAAATATCATGTATTTTCTCTGTCATCATTGAAACTTCATCAATTCCTCAAATTAATGTGCTATTAAGCTTCACTAAGAAAGAAAGAAGTTCTCCACTAAAAGCCCCATCCCTACAACCCTCTACACTATACATAGAACAAAGTCGCACCACCCTTTGATCATAACCCTAGTTAGACCTCTTCTCAAAGGAAGGAGACACTTCAAGGATATTTGTTGGACTCCACTGAAGCTTCTACAAGCATCCAATTGAGGCTACACCTCTTGGACGAAGGTATGAGTTCAAATACCTAATTTTGCTTTCAGTTTTGTCCTTATGTGAAATAAACTTGAAATCTAGACTGTGCTAGCCTTATAAATATGTGCATCTTGATTAGATGAAGGTGTAGGAACAAACCCTGTATGATTTAGTTGAGAATTTAGGGCAAAATTAAGTTTAGAAAATGAACGATTTATGGTTTAAGTCATTTGGGGACAATGACTATGAGCC